AGATGATCCTTAGCACAGAATAAATCCAAATGAATGAGAAAAACTAATATGATAGAAGGATTTTCCCGAAAACGCCAGAAAGGAAGAGAGGAAGACGAGGAAATGCAAATGTCATCGATAACAAAAGCAAATAAGGATCTCGAGTTGTGACAAGGTTGTAAAGGTAATCAATAAGGACCAAGTTAAGCTATCCCGAAGGAGGAACGGCGAAGGACCCCGTTATAGCGACTCCTTCGCCGCTCTTTTTCCCTATTTTGCTTCCATCATCACGTCTTATCGTTTCCTTTCTGCCTCCCTTCTTGCTCTCCTCCTCCTCTTCTCGATCCTCTCTCTTTTTTCATTCTCCCTTCTCCATTCTTTTTTTCTCCCTCTCCTCCTTTCATTCCGTTTTGCCTCTTCTTCCTCCCCATATGTATCTATCCTTTCCCCTTTCCCTCCTCCCATCTCCTCCCTCACTACGCTTCCCTGTTCCCTTTCATCCTTTCTCCCCCTTACCTCTCTCTTCTTCCTCGCTTCTCCTCTCCTAACTTCTCTCTCTTCCTCACTTCTGTCCACCTCCTCTCACTTTCATTTCCTCTTTTTCGCTCTTCCCGTCCTCCTCTCCATCTTCCTCTTCCCACCTCCCTTACTTCTCTCCATTTTCCTTTTCTCTCCCCTCCCTCTTCCAGCTCCCCACTTCTTCCTTAAACCTTCTTGGTTTTCTTCACTTCTCCTCTCTCCTTCTTATCTCTCACCCCTCTTTTTTCCCTCACTTCTCTTTCCCTCTTTTTCATCCCCTCCTCCTATTCCCACTCACTTCTCTCCCTCTTATCTCTCCTCACCTCTCCTCCTCAAGTTCCCCTTCACTTCTTCCTCTCCTTCTCCCTTCCCTCCATCACCCCCCTCCTCCGGTTCCCCTTATTTCTCCCTCCCCCTCTTTCATCCTCTCCTCCTATTCCCCTTCACTTCCCTCCCTCTTCCTTTCCCTCACCTTTCCTCCTCCAGTTCCCCTCACTTCTTTCTCACCTTCTCCTTTCCCTTCCGCCCCCCATGGGAGGAGGAAAAGGGAAAAGGATAGATAAATGAAAGGAGGAAAAGAATGGAGAAGGGAGAATAGAAGAAAGGAGAGAAATGAGAGGAGGAGGAAGAAGGGAGAAGGGAGGCCAAAGAGAAGTGAGAAAAAGTCGCGATGGAAGCATTCACTCCGAAAGGAAATCTGTTCACTCCACGATGTTCAACGATTTTCTTTCGCTGTGAGCCGTTCAGTTCGTTTTCCTTGAACGCGAATTTCACTTTGGAGTTTCCCATAATGGCAGTTTCTATTATTATTATTATTAGCTGGATGGGCTTGGGGGGGGGGCAAAACTGGAGGCTGGGAGGGGGTGGTAGGGGTGGGGTGGGGAGGGGGGGAGAGCGATATCGAGAAATTGGTTTTGAACTGTTCGATGATCTTGGCTGTTTTTTTCAGTGTTTTTGATAAGACTTTTATTTGTTTTGTTTATCTATTCATGGCGTGGCCTTGCATGTATAGTTCAGAAAATATACTAAGGGATATAGTCAAATACACGCGTATACACCAACAGACATTCCCAAAGACAGACGTGCTCCCTTTCCAGCCACACAGTTAAAACAACAAACAAACAAACACACACACTGAAACACACTCCCGCAACACGAAACATTCACACACACAGCCCCACACACAACAAACAAACACACACACACACATTGAAACACACTCCCGAAACACACAACATCCACACACACACACAGGAACCCCCCCCCCCCCCCACACAACACAACATCCACACACACACAGGACCCCCCCCCCACACACACACATCCACAAACACACATCCTACCACACAAACCACAAACCCATCACGCCCACACGCCCACAGAGCTTACCATAGAGGACGTGGACCCGGAGACTCGTCGAGGGCGTGTTCGAGGGCGCGCACGTGTAGTTCCCAGAGTCGGGCGGGCGGGCGTCCTGGAGGAGAGAAACAGGAAGTCATAGAACGCTGGCTTAAATGTGGGCGGATCTGCAGTGGCGTCTGTTGGGAGGTCCTCACGCCTTCTATCTATCCACTTACCTCATCTATCCACATTATTTTTCTGCCCATCTTATTTCCTCAATTATCTGTCTCTCTCTATACATTTAGTGACGTATCGAAACCAATGAAATCATTTTGCTAGCTGGCAACTCGGAGATCCTTTCAAAAGACCACCAAAACACAGACATACACACACACACACACACGCACGCACGCACACACACGTACACATACGCACACACACACAAAACGAAAACAATAAACGGTACCAAAATTCACCAATGAATAATTAAGACCCCCGCGAGGTAAACAAAGAACACTCCTCTATGACCAGGTAGCCGTAAGACGTGTTTCCCCTCTCCATCACCACCGTCACTCCGCCGCGAGGGGAATCGTAGTTCACCACCTGAGGGAGAGAATGACGTCACGGGTGCACACAGCTATAAACACGCTCATGTATGTAC